TATCAGTCGTACCTGTGTGTGTTTTCAGGCACCTGGACAGTCATAGTCTTTGGGAAGGACGAAGCTTTGCAGTTCAGTGTTTTCAGATCATCATGTACTCCATCCAGGTTAGTAAAACACTTGGAGTACTTACTGTACTCGACTGCACATAACTCTACTAAACTGAACCTGAACTCAGTATTTTCAGTATCTGAGGTGAACTGTGTCCTCTTCAGTCCCAGCATTCACACCTGGTCATCCAGCAGCTGTTGGGTCACCTGGACGCTAACAGCAAGAGTCCAGCTTCAGTCAGAGCCGGGATCGTAGAGGTCCTGTCTGAAGCTGCAGTTATAGAAGCCACTGGATCTGTGGGTCAGTGGGTGACGTATCTGTCTCTGTGTGTGTTCGCTGTGTGTTCAATACAATCCTACCATTAGTGCATGTGAGCTATTTAAAGTAATGTGTGCACTGCAGGTCCCACAGTGCTGGAGGTGTTCAACACGTTACTGCGGCAGCTCAGACAGAGCGTCGACTACCAGCTGACTGGTTACTATGACAACACCGGAAAACGCAGAACCACGTCGACTGAAGAGAAAACGCTGCAGGACGGCGTCATCAGGACTATCGGTGGGGCTCAGGCTGTGTTTTCATTGTCCTGCTGTCACTGAACAGTTTTCAATGTGCTGCTTCATTTCAATCTGTGTCGTCTGTCCAGGATCCTTCGCCAACACACTTCCCATCTACCAGAGGTCAGAGGTCATGCTGTTCATCATGGGGAAGATCCCAGTCCCTGGTATCTACCCCGCCCTGGGGTCGCCCAACTCCGGGTACCATTTTCACCACCTACTTTAAACATAACAGAAGTTCCAGATGGATGTGCTTTAAGGTGCTCACAGTGTGTCTGTCTCAGGTTGGAAGGCAGCAGGATGATCCAGGTGATGCTGTTGAAGTCTCTCCTCCAGGTGAACTCACCTAGTCTCCCTCCTTATCCACCAAACTACCCACTGAACCAACTACAGAACTATCTTTGTCCCAACTTACCTACTGAACGCTGTCAGTGGTGTTACGTTGTCGTGATAGTTCAGTCCCATGAAACCCTGTATGTCTAAAGAAGTGAATGTTCCTGCCTCAGGTCTCGGAGCGTTATGAAAGCAGTAATCTTCTGACGGCGTTGCCCTCGTCCTTCCTGGAGCCTCTGCTGTCCTTCACTCTGATGGAGGATCCGGAGATCCGTCTGCTGGTCCTGTCCATCCTCACCTCGCTCATCGACAGACGCCACAACGCCGCCAGACTCACCGCTGCCAGGTCACAGACAATAACATTACTAATGGGAAGTGTTTCTCTGTGTAATTAGTGTGATTAGTAATTGATTGTCAGAGTCTCTGTCTGTGTCCACAGTGTGATGTTTGATGTCTCCGTGTTGGAGCTGAAGGAGGACAGATGCTCTCGACAAGACAACTTGTTCATAAGGAAGGTGAGGCTGCCACTAACCATTATTGTCATTATTGATTCCTCTGTGGATCATTTCAGAGTTCATACAGTCTTTTAATCAGCATTAGCATCTATATATCACATTTTAAATGTTACTAATTATGAGGTCAACACTTTAATAACCAGTCTTTGGACACATCGTGTTTACGGAGCTTCAAATGAGTGTAACCAGTTCTCTGTTTCACACTTACAGAAAATATTCACATTAAAAACAGAAGAACTGCATCATTCATACAGTCCTGCTGTTGGATTTCATCTTGTATAAAATGAATGAAAGACACAACCTTTCATACAATGTCCCATCATGCATGTGTGCAGAATGCGCAGCGTCTCTACAGACACGTCTACCTCACCTGTAAGGAGGAAAGCAGTGGGCGGGGCCACTACCGGGCCCTCGTCACCCTGCTGGCTGTCCTCGGTGTGGAACTGGCCAATGAGGAGGTGGTGGTGGACCTGATCCGACTGGTGCTCGCCCTGCAGGTAGGCGGAGCTGCTATAGTGATGATATTAATGATAATTAGGATAACAATGTTGATCCTTTCTCTCTTCTGATTGGCCGTTTAGGAGCTGGCATTGTCCCCTCACGAGTGTTTGTCAGTGTTTAACCGTTGTGGCGTTCACGCCGTCTGCGCCGCCTTCCTCAACCTGTTGTCCCAGCTCGGTCCGCCTCCACCGTTCCACCTACACGTCACACAGGTGAAGACACAGAGTGTGTGTGTGTGTGTGTGTAATGAAGGAGTGTGTGTGTGTGTGTGTGTGTGTATGTACATCAGATATACTTCATTCATTTTGTGTCTGCAGGTCATAGAGCGTCGGCAGGGGAACGCTCCACACCTGCTGCCCAAAGACGTGTTCTGTGATGAACCCAGGTAGAGAGACACAGAAAGAGAGACAGAAGGAGAGAGACACAGAAAGAGAGACAGACAGACAGACAGAGAGAGAGACACAGAAAGAGAGACAGACAGACAGAAAGAGAGAGAGACACAGAAAGAAAGACACAGAAAGAGAGACACAGAAAGAGAGACAGACAGAAGGAGAGAGAGAGAGACAGACAGAAAGAGAGACAGACAGAAGGAGAGAGAGACACAGAAAGCGAGACAGACAGAAGGAGAGAGAGACACTCCTATTTCAAACCACTATTCTACTCCGTTTGACTATTAACCGATTACAGTTCAGTTGATCTCCGTTTATTTTATTCTTTTTAAACCTTTCTGCCTCAAATCAGTCAGATGTTTCTGTATTACTGAGGACTCCATAAAGTTAAAGTTACAGGAGGGAGGATAAAGTAACAGCTGGACAGTGGTGGAAGAACTACTCAGATCTTTTACTGATTAAGTTTACTTCAGTTACAAAATATACTTAATACTATTGTATTATAATTATTGATGAATTGTGTTCATGACTTTAATCAATAATAATAATATATCATTATTTATTTAATAATCTGTCTGTCTGTGTGTGTGTGTGTGTGTGTGTGTCAGACTACCACAGGGGGAGCTGATGGTGGATGAAACCTTTCTGTTCGTCCAATCGAAGATCTGCGAGGCTCTGACAGGAAGCAGCTACAGCGCACACACCGAGCGCTTCAACACGCCATACACACCTCAGCTAACAGGTACACACACACACACACACACACACACACACACAGAGAAGGGTTTAACACACTATTACTAACACACTCACTCGTCTTTTCTTTAGATTTGTTCCTCAGAAGCATCCCAATGTCTGTAGACACCCTGTAGGGGGCGCCACACTGTGTACTCACACTGTGTACTCACACTGTGTCACTGTGTGTGTTTAGATGAGGATCGTCTGTCTAAGAGGAAGAGTATTGGAGATGTCATCTCTCTGCAGATCGACATGGACCCTCAGTACTGCCCTGATACACAGCAGGTACCTGTCTGTCTGTCTGTCTGTCTGTCTGTCTGTCTGTCTGCCTGCCTGCCTGTCTGTCTGTC